CTGAAAAAGCTGACAAAAATATCTTACTAGAAGTGAAACTTTTCAGCACTGTGGGGAAATATATTGTATTGTCAAGAGCTCCCTCTACTGAAATCTCTGCGTGATACTGTTTTCAACATGCACACTGTAAACATATTGCCATATATTGAGAGCCTCATAAAAGTTTGTCTACAAATGTTTGTTTTTTTGCTTTTGTGTTCTGCAATTGTAACTTATAATATATATATAACTCATGTAAGTATATTCGAATACCATATATTGTTTTTACAATTCTTTCAGAAATTACTCACATATTTAGCATGTTTCATTTCCTTTTTTTTTACCTTACACATTGAACCTAAAGTGGCTGAAGGTTGAGTGAAGGTGTGATCACATAGTTACAGCACCCTCAAGGGACTTGACATTAAAAACAGCTTGTGTCATTTGAAACTATGACGAACTATTGAGACGCTTCATGATGAACACAAACACACACGCGCACATAAACAACACATGCTCAGCAACTGAATCAAGAAAGTGGGAATGACTCTAGACTTCTGTGCAAAGTGACATTTTAATCAATAAGCAGTTTGATTGAGTCTGTTTACTTGGAAAAGACCATGGAAATAGTCATAGTTCAGTTTTTATTAGTAGTTTGAATTAGTTTTAAAGTTTTTTGTGTGTGTGTTTTGTCTTTGGTTTGTTTGCTTTACTGTTTTGTGTTTTTTATTTCTGTGCAGCCTTATTGTTATTTTGTTTAATTTTTATACTTATACATTTTTTTAAGTTAAACAGAGTATTGAAACATTTCCTTTGCAACTAGCAGAGATAAAACAAGTTAACATTTTAGTTATTTTACTTTTCAGTTAACAAGTTGCAAAAAGTGTATTTCATATTTCCGTGTAGCCTTGTTGTTATTTTATATAAGTAATCTTTTTAAGTTAAAAAAAATATTGAATCATTTCCTTGGCAACAAGCAGAAATAAATTAATTTATAAGTTTAAATATTTTACTTTTTTCAGTTAACAAAATGTACAAAAAATGTTTGTTTATGAAATGATTTCAGTCAACTCAAATAATTAAGTTTTTCAAATTATTTATTAAACTGTGTCTTAACTTATCAGTGCCGTCACTAAACAGTAAAAAATACTGTTAAATTAAACACCACTATATGTTATTTAACAAATCAATTTTACTGTATAAACAGTGAATTCAAATTGTGATTCATTCCAATCACATCGAGATTTAGCTTCATGCTAATGTTGTGAGACGACATGCATCAGTGCCCTGCATTCCTGCAGTCATAATGCTGGGAACAGAACTAATATGACTGTAATGGACCACTCAGAGGTGAAGCAGAGCTCTAATGTATTTTCCATCTGTTAATATTTAATGCAATGATGTAGACGTCATTACGCTTTTGACTTAATTACCCCTCTACTGGTCGCTCCAGCTTACTGATGACCTCGGTAACTGACAGTGTCACAATTACATCAGTTCAGTCTTAATCAATGTCTAATTTACTCATATAACTGCAGGTGTTTGGATGGATAAATGAATGTAAGATGAGCAACAGCTCGTTCTTGTTTATGTATTAAAATATCGATTTACATTTTCAGATTGTTTTAGAATGTTTTGAAGTGTTAGATTTCCCAGAGATGGGTTGCAGCTGGAAGGGCATTCGCTGCGTAAAACTTATGCTGGATAAATTGGTGGTTCATTCCACTGTGGCCACCCCAGATTAAGTAAGGGATAAAGCCGACAAGAAAATGAATGAATTAATGAATGAAATACTAGAATTTAAGCCCTGGGGCAGCATGGGGGCTTAGTGGTTAGCACTTTCACCTCACAGCAAGAAGGTCATTGGTTCGAGTCCTGGCTGGATCAGTTGGCATAGCTGTGTGGAGTTTGCATGTTCTCCTCGTGTTAACGTGGGTTTCTTTGCTCCTGGTGCTCTGGTGTCCCCCATAAGACATGCACTATAGGTGAATTGAATCAACTAAATTGGCCATAGTGTATGATAGAGTGTGTAAGGTGTGTAAAGTGTGTTTCCCAGTACTGGGTTGTGGCTGGAAGAGAACATATACTAAAATAGTTGGCAGTTCATTCTACTGTGGCGACCTCTGAAATAGATACTAAGTTGAAGGAAAATAAATAAATAAATAAATAAATATAAGTCCCAATATGCACATCAGACACTTGACAAGAAGCACCATGCTGCATCTATGACTGCTTGAGGAATTGCACACTGGACTCATGTTCCATCGTGAATAAAGTACATCCAGGAGGTTGTTTTTGCGCAATTAAGCCTGACAGGCTTATCTTGTATAGGACTGAAGGGCTTTATTCTGCAGGAAAACTGCCACAAAACTTGCATTAAAACACAAAACATTGATCTAAAACGTAATAGTTTATTAACTAATTCTTAATTAAATGCAAACCTGACAAAACAGCTGATGGAGTATACACTAACCTTCGCACTTGTTCAGTAACAAGATGGTGGCAAACAGTTAAAAACACGAAGTAGACAGAAACAAAACTGACTGAATAAAAAATAGACTTTTCTATGTATTATTCACCAAACCATTAAAAACTGTGGCATGAGAGACAAGCAAATACATATGAATGTGGATGCTAATGTATGGATTTAAACGGATTCACTGACGGTTAAGGTGATTCAAAGTTCCCGGATGACCTGTGTTATTTGGTGGTTGTTATCTCGGGATAAAATAATTTGGAATTTCGCAACTGACCTATCAAAATCGAGTATTCTAGACAGCCAAGTAATAAGCAAATATAATATTATTTATTATGAATTTATGCAAATTGTGCACTGTTGATGCTTTCAAGTCATAAATCAATATTTACGAGTTGAACGTCGAACACAATCAGCACTACAAATTCATTATTACAAATCGAAAACTCAAAATTCTCTTAAATTCCAGAGTTTCTGAGCTAATGTCATTAGCTACATTTCCATCCACCTATTTTTATGTGCATTTTAGAGATGCGCATAAAAATCAGTTGATGGAAACAGCAAGATGCGCATCAATTTTGAAAATGCGCATTAAAATATGTTCGCGTAACTGAGTAGGAAAAACTTTTTATTTGATAAGAAAAGATCTGCAAAAACTAGGATGGAAACACTTTTACCAAACAAATTCCAGCATGCGCATTTAAAAAAAGTAGTGTGATTTTTGTTATGAGCGATCAGTGCTGTCGTCATCGTCTTCTGAGGCTCAAGTCATTTATTAAATAAGGAAAAGATTTGTGCAGCTTCCCCTACCACAAAATACATTTTTACTGTTGATATTTGCCGCCAGTTAATCAGAAAGTGACGATTTTGTTCTCTTTAACTCGTTGGATGGAAACCCTGCTTTATTCGCACATCTTTTATGCGATATTCTAGTTTTGCGCATAAAGTAATTCTCATTTTTTGGTGGAAACATAGCATAGTGAAATTGAAGGATGCAACAACTGTCATGTGTTTATTAAAAAAATTTAAACTTTTTGAGTATGACAAGATAAAAGATGTAATTTAACAATATAAAAGTTTAAAATGATTAGCTTAAAGTGGCTAAATAAACTATTTAACAAAAATGAAAATGCAAAACACGCCTAATGCAATTTCTTTATTACAGCTATCAAAAGTAACTTTAACGCACTTGACGTCATAGTTACGACTTGTGAAGTACGAGCTTTCCAGAAGGAATTGAACGCAGCATGTGACATGACATACGCTCACATAAAACAATATGTATCATTTCACAGCATTGCACTTCTAGTCTGGTGTGCGACCTGCTTCAGAATGTTGCGCAACATCAACATTTAAATCTCCATACATTAAGAGGAGCAGGGTTTTCATGTTACACACTCTTGTTCTTCAGGATTTACATTCAGACTTGCACGTTCATATCTTGTGCATCAGTATCTGCACGCATATGAACAACCATTTAGCAGTGATGCGTTTGTTTGAACGATCTCAAACGGATTTAAAGTCACTCTCGTTTCTATATGTTTCGACAAGTATGACACATATAGATGTTAACAGATATCATCTATATGCTGGTGACTTGACTGACTTTACAGCATTTCCGAGCTCGGTTCCCGATGAGAGATGTCATACTTCGACTGAAACGTGTTTTATTCGTGCTGCACGTCTCGGAAATGTCACACATGGGTAAAAGCCTGGTGTGTTGTATTCACACTTTAAACCCACTGTACCTTTTTCTCCGAGGCATTGATTGCATTGGTCCTTTAATATTGGTGACAGCTAATACACTCCTAAATGATCGGTTATTATCTCCGGGGCCTTGTTCCATGTGCCCCGCTGTTTCCAAAGGTCATCCCTCTGTCTTCCTGTATCGACCTGCTCGCCTGTTAACGTGGCCTAAGACTTATTGAAAGTGAAGGTTGAGGAGCATATTTCCATCAGGTTGCAGTCTTCTCCTTCACGAGACGGCTTTTAAAAGGCTCTTTTGAGCATGTCCATTCAGAGAGAGGGGACAGGATGAGAAAACATAATGGATATGCCAATACAGGCAAAAGCGCCCTTAAAATGCATGCGGTTTCCCACTGGTGTAAGTGTATCAGCGTCTAGGTTTAATACGATAAATTTAACGCTAGATTTGCTCTATTGTATGTGTGTCATAATCTGTAGCTTCGTAAAAATGCGCCTTGTCTTGACATTCTTAAATCAAGAAGCATTTACAGACAAGCAAAAATTGACTTGTTTTCAGAAATCATAAGTAAAATGACTTGAGTTTTTCTTTGAAACAAGCAAAATAACCTGCCTATGGATTAAATAAAATGATCCTGTTCTTGTTTTGAAATTAGATTACTAAAGTCTTTATCATTGTCACGTTGTTAAATTTAAATTTGTTATTTCTGAAAACAAGCCAATATTGTTTTTTTGTCTAGAAAATGCTTCTTAATTTAAGCATTTTTAGATATTTGAGCAAGAAACAAGACAACAGTGCTGTTTAAAATACTAACAAAGCATCATTTTTATCTTTCCACAGCTGTACGAACTAGACGATGATGAGAAGAGGAAGGAGTTTCTTGACGATCTCTTCAGTTTCATGCAGAAAAGAGGTGAGTCTTGTTTTGTGGAGCTGGTCAGATAACAAATATCAGAAGCACACACCCTTTCACACCCATGCCGCAAAACCATATGTTGGCTTTAGATGGTGATGTTTAGATAAGGGTAATTATTGGATTTGTGGATGCTTTTTTAGCCAGGTGAAATTGTGTTCATCAAATAACCGAAGAAACATTTTTAACTCTCAGTTCATGTTTGAATTTTGGGTGTGTTTTTTTAATGGTGTTGGTGAAAACGACCAGTTAAGATGAGGCAGGACATACTGTCTTTACTTGACTTTTCAGTTTTACCCACACCATAAAAACACATTTGACATAATAATACTTTTCACACATTGCAGAAATAAAAATTAGAACATACACACTGTAAAACTGCTTTTCTTACTTTGAGTTTTTGTCTTGTTTCTAGTCCAAATATCTAAATATTCTTAAATCAAGAAGCAGTTTCTAGACAAGCCAAGAACATTGTCTTGTTTTCAGAAACAATATGCCAAAATGAAGTGATTTTTATTTAAAATAAGTAATCTGCCTATTGGCTTAGTCAGATATTATTTATGCAACGAGAAAACAAGTTAATTTTGTTTACCTCATTGGCAGATTATTTTGATTCAAGAATTTTTAGATATTTGGACTTGAAACAAGACAAAAACTCTCAAGTAAAAAAGCAGTTTTTTGCAGCGTATAATTTTTTTAATTGTATGATATTATATTTAATTTTATTTAAAGAAACAACATTGTAACTGTAACAACATGTTTTTAATTTTATGTTATTATTACTGTGTATTTACATTTTTTATTATATTATTTTATTAGTAGTTTTAATTATTACTTTTTAAAATTATTATTATGATTTTTACCAATTTCTTTCTTCTTTTAACCTTAAGTAGCAGTTTGTGGCACAAACAGCACCAAGATTATGGGTTTGAGTCTTAGCAAAACTACCATGAATAAACCGGAACTGTATGCCTGTAAAGCAGTGTAAAAAGCAGTTAAAGCATTTCTTTGAGCAAAAGTGCCTGCTAATTGCATAAATGTAGTTAGCTGCTAAGGGCAGTTAGCAGTTGTTGTTGTTTTACTTTATGGCCTAAATTGTGACTAGAATTAAAAAATATATATATTCATGCTCATTTTTTTGTCCCATATATGAGACTATTTGTCCTATTTTGACTGCTATGCCATCATGGTGAAAATAACCCATCGAAAAATGCTTTAAGACCAATCAGAATCCTCTGTCAGCTGTCGATTCGGTGTGACTTTTGCTAATCAGTTTTGGCCAATGCTAACAAACATTTTTCATCCAACATCCAGCTGTGCATAGGAGAAGTCTTTCGCTACAGTGTTGTTTTAAAAAAGAGAATTTTACAAGTAGCTTTTATTGTAAATCTTGGACCTTATTCTTAAAACAACTGACCAATAAAAAGGTGTAAAGCACCTAAATTTATTTGAATACTATTTTGGCTAAAATAGTCTTAAAATGTGGCTATGATGACCATCTAACAAGCTAATTTAGAATAGTGCTTAAAATGTCACTAAAATGCAGTATTTAAAAGTCTTAATTACTTGGAAAATGAGGCGTATAATTGCAAAAATGTCCACTTTTTGAGATAAAAGAGCCACCCCTTTTACCAGACTGGCTACGGGCCTGCTATTAGTATTTTTAGTATTTCTGATGCAGGTTTTGTGTTACAGCAGGTCAAATTGACCTGCAGCATAATATAAGGGTAAACAGTTTTTCTTTTGAGTAAATACTGTAATATAACAAGCATATCCTGTCATCTGAACAACTGGAATAATTCGATTTGTGTATAAATGTGTGGCACCTGTGGTGGAAAACAAAGCATCATAAATGCCCAGCCACCCATCTGCCGTCTCGCCAACAATAGAAATGCAGGCTTTATTGTTTTGGTAAAGGCTGAGAATGTGTAGATACTATTGTGATAGGCTTTTCCAGGTTTCCTGCTTGACCCGTCCAGTTCTCTGAAGTGTTGCTGCCACCGTGGTGTGTTTGTGCCCCTGATGCTATCTGAAACAACGGCTTCTGCTGTTTGTATTATAATTACTCTCAGATTATGTGAAAACATCCCTGAGGGGATGACCTTGCCACAGTGGGGAAGGCAGCATCCTGGTATTATGTTAGCATAATGAATTTTCAGCTTTATTGAAGAGGGAGGTACATCATCTGACCGCTTTTTCCCACCAAGGTGCTTCAGCAGACATCAGCCCTCCATATTTTATAGCGGAAATAGAGGAACTTTAAAGGCCTTGCATAATATGAGGAAGTTTGCAGCCTTTGAAGACTTTCCATGGCAGATATTTTAAGCTCTCGTGTCTGTTTTTGTCACTAATATGGCTTTGTTTTGGTAATATGGTGTATTTTAACCGTATGATCATTATTTAACCATATATTTTAATCCACATGGGCTGTAATTTGATGTAGTTGTACTAAAGTTGTATTAAAGTTAAGGATTATTTTTTAAAATAAGATGTCTATATGATGTTGATTTTTGTAAAGACAGATACTGTCGCACAAGAAAAATGTCAGACCTGTTTATATCATATAATTTACTTTTTTTTTACCTTATTAATAATACTAATATATAGAACTTAATAATAGATGCCCAACCTAATCTAAATTAAAACATTTATTTACATTTTTTAAATATTTTTTTCTTCATTTTTGATTAAATACATAAGAAATTCAATGCATATTTCCATTATTAATAAAACAACAAAAGACAAAATAAAATAAAAATTACTCACTGCTTTTAACTGCAGGACCGTTGGAGCTTTAAAAAGAAACTAAACTTTTTACTTTTTTTATGTTTTAATTCTATTGTATTTTTTTTCAATGTTTTTAAGACATTTAGTTTGTTTTCTTGATTTGATTTTGGTAAAACTTCTTCTGTGTTATTGTAAAGTAAGACATTTCTTAATTTCTGAAATGTATTGGTGTAGTAGCAATCTTTTTTTTTCAGAAAATGCATAAACAGTTGAAGGCAAAATTATTAGATATTTTTATTCCTTTTTTTTTAAATATCTAAACAATATTTAATAGAGCAGGGAAAGTTTCACAGTACTGTATATCCCATAATATTTTTTTCTTCTGGAAAAAAGTGTTGTTTCTTTTAGTTTGACTGGAATAAAAGTTTTTAAAAATTATTTTTATTTCTGTTTTAGTTGTTAATTTCAACTTGCCTAGTTAACCTAATTAACCTACTTAAGTCTTTAAATTGCACCTTAAGCACCTATTGAAAAATAACTAAAATATTATGTACTGTCATCATGGCAAAGACAAAATAAATTAGTTATTAAAACTAATGTTTAAAAATGTGTTGAAAAAAATCATGTTTCTGTTAAAGAGCACTCTGGAAATATTTTTACTGCAACTATATACATTTTAAAAATTGTACCATAATAATCGTGATAATGATTTTTTTAGGACTGCACAATATTTTGTTTCAGAATTTATATATATATATATATATATATATATATATATATATATATATATATATATATATATATATATATATATTGCAGTGTGCAGTCTGCATAGTCACCTCTCAGGATCTGCAATGTTGAGTTAAAATTGTAATTAAGTCAAAAACAAAATACTAGCAAAGTTTAATCCTAATGGAGTGAACGATTTTAAAGACCTGTGACTGTGTGACTTTGTTCTAATGAATGACTTTATGCTTGTAATTGATTTATTACTTGTTATGCAGTTGAACTCCCTTTTAATGTAAAATCATGAATTCTTTCCCAAAAGAGCTACTTAAATCATCTTTAAAATGATATTCATATAGCAATAGATATTGCAGTAAAATAATCACAATGTATGTTTTTTCCAATATCATGCAGCCCCTGATATTTTTCATAATGGAGCAGCCATACAATAGATTATTTAAACAATGAACTAAATCCATACTCAGTGATGGGTTGCAGCTGGAAGGGCATCCGCTGTGCAAAACATATGCTGAATAAGTTGGTGGTTCATTCCGCTGTGGTGACCCCTGATTAACAAAGGGACTAAGTCGAAGAGCAAATGAATGAATGAATGAAGTAATTATAATTCTGTGTTCAGATCATTTCCATTTATTGTGAAAACATAATAAATGTATCAAATACAGCAAATATCAAATCATTTTTAAAGCATGATTGACTGAGATGTTGTATTATAAACTTGTCATGCACAATTGTCATCAAGACGAACAGAAAATGTTTTGAGGAAGAAGAACTGAACGAGAGACACTCTAAAACTATGGATCATGACAGATGTGCCTTTCCAACAGCTGTGGCTGAGGATTCCTTACACGTTACACTGAAGGAACTTGGCAGTATTTCAACAAAATCTATGTGCCGATGTATTGTGGTGTGTTGCTGACCTTGCAGCCTGTCAGCAGTACAATATATTATTACTGAATAGCTCACAACATCATGACAACTGACTGTTCACTCACTTAGTGCTTATTCGGTATATCAGCAGCACTGATGTAGATTCAACCAGAATTTCAACAGCAGTTTATATTAAAAAATGCAGAGTATTGGAATCATTTACAGGTTTAGGTCATGAAATTATTTAAAAATCTTAGTATAAAGTCCAATATTATAAAAATCTCGTCTTAGCAATATTAATTAAACTCTGTAATTATAATGAGAGTCCTTATTCCAGACTACATGCTCTACAATATACACTGTAAATCATTTCTCGAAGCTTTCCGTGCCAATGACACATTTTTGTGATGTATTTGTTTACACATCATGTGTGGCCATTTTTGACTAGTCAAACCATCTTTGCAACAGATTTTCTTGTTTGAAGCAGAACTCCACCTCAGCAGTTTGGTTTGGTTTGGTGTCGGAGGCGGTTACAGGTCACAGGAGATCTGATTTATTTGCCCTGAGAGGCAACAGATGACAGAGAAGGCCGAGTCGTCATTTAGCTCCGTTTCATCTGTTTAAATTTGTGATGACAGGAATGCAGGGCAGGTTTTATC